TGTTATCTTTTGCTTAGTCATTTACGCAAATTAATTTCAACAATTAGCCTTTTGCTAGTCCTTCATGAATCATGCAATAGGGATCTCTGCAAAAAAAAAATATATATATAAATAAAAAAAAAATAAAAAGTGGTTCTTTCTTCACGGAAAAGAATTGGCTCACATTATAAATCATATAGGAAGCTGAGTTTACTTGCAGTTCATCACTTAAAGTTTCCAAACAGTGACCATTGCAGACTTTTCCTCCTAGCTTATCTGTAACTGCTGTGTGATATTTGGGAAATAAAAATCTAAAAATCCTTGAATTGTGAATCTAAAAATATTCTTATTTATCTCTAGATATAATTAATTGCTTTTGGAAGGTTTATACAATTAAATTTGCCTTTAACATTTCTCAGAACTCAGTTATAATATTTTAGCATTTACGTTGATATAACCTATATTGTTTTAACTTCATGATGAAATTTTTTTTTTCCGTAATAAATTCTACAATCTTTGTGAAATGGGATTGGCATATTATAAAACGACAAATTAGGTGTCAAATTTTTGCATCATGCTTCATTCGATCCAAACATTTTATTGTTGCTAAACCAACTTCCCCCATTTCTCTATTACAACTGGTAAATGTACTCCCCCATTCATGGTGATAGGTATCTCAGCTCTGAATGCAGATGGAAATGGGTAATCAATAAAGTTTGTGGAGTCATTCCAATTTAGGGATAAAGCCAAATGTAATTTGAGCAGCGCTAACTTAAAGTAACACTTTAGTGTTAGGAATACAAATATGTATTCCTAACACTAAAATGTTCATCTGCCCCTAGATGTCTGTCAGCACTGGGTCGCACTCCACCTCCTCCAATGTCAGCTGATGGGGGGTACCTAATGTGCACGAACGCCTGCACACGCATTAGACATTTCCCCATAAATAAGCATTGCCTCAATGCTTTCCTATGGGGTTTTCCTTAATAATAGATGTCTTCATGCAGAGCGGGAGGACGTCCATCGTCGTTTCATGGAGTTTAACTCTATTCAGTCACCAGAGTCAGTCTTAGTATTGGAATGTAAACATTGCAGTTTCTCGAAAACAGCAATGATTTACATTGCATGACTAAGGAGGACAGTGCACCAAGTTCACCTCAATGAAATGAAGTGGTGTTGTTGCCTACAGTGTCCATTTAACCAGAGATGGATGCATTTTCCTGGTGACCCAGCAATGATCAAACAAAACATCTTCAAGGCAAAACTATGATAACCAAAAATTAAAAAGAATTCTAAATGTGTAAAGATAAGTGCACCTATAAAATATACAACAATATTCAGTGGAAAAAAAAATAGAAAATAGGGTAGGTAAATACATGTAAACCTACCCTCTTCAGAGCCTGTACCTAGTTCTTTAAAATCACCCTGATATTGAAATGGAACCAACAGCCAATATGCTAGCATATGCACAGAAAAGTAATTAAAACTGCAATAATCAAACTATGTGTGCTGGTAAGTAGTAATTCTTTACATTTCAGTTATCTAAATGCTTTGTTAGCATAGTACAGGGGTGAAGATTGTGGCTGACTAAGGCTCATAGAACAGTTAAGCTCTTTTGAATTTCAATGTGCTCAAAACTCAGTAATGTTTTGGACTGAATAGTGGACTTGGGCAATAATATTCTTAGAATCTACTGGAATAACACTTGACCAAATTAGGCTGACTAGCTAAAAGTGCAAGTTCATATAAAAAATAAAGAAAAGTAATTCTTACATGGACGCTGTGAAGATCATTTAATTCATCTGCTACATGGAATACATAATGCAGTATGCATTTCCCCTTAGTTCTCAATTAATTTGAAGTACCTTAATAATTAAAGTGTAGAGACTTAGTAATGTAGTCAAACCTTCTTTTGGAGCCATTAAATGAAAACTCTGATTTCTATGCATTGTTAATCAAGCTCCAACTACGACTATTGCAAATAAATTCAAACACAATCACACAGTGCCATAATCTTCTCCTGGATTTTAGCAAAGAAGGTTGGATCCCAAGTATACACAAATCTTTTAACTGACAGTGATTAGCTTATGAGAAAGTTTACTTGAAAAACCTAGTTAATTAACATTGATTGAAGATGTTAGGTAAATTTTGACGGTCAGTGTTGATGACTAAAATGTCATTGAGAGACCAGTCTCGATATATACTAGGCACTGGAAATAGGGTCATTTATGCAGCTTTGACAGTACTGTAGACAACAAAGAAAGGTTTGCCCATATGGTGTCATGTTTCTTTTTGCTTCTGGTTGCATGTGACAGATGGGGATAATTTGACTAACAAGCGTCTTATGTCTGACAGGTTGTTAACCTGAGTGGCTTGTGCCATCACGGAGCTTGGCAGAGTTTTGGTGAGTAATAGAGAACACATGGTGTTATTTACAGTACATCGTGAAATGCATGCATTGGTTTCTTTTTAACATAAGACCTTGGAAATTGTAACAGCAATGTGGAAATCTAGTAAACATAAGGCAACTGCAAAGTTAACAAGTTTCTTGATATATTGACTTATAAAAAATGCATAATTCTTCCTTTTTTTTTACATCGAAGAAAAACTAGGATGTGAGATTAATGCAAAACTGTACCCAAGAGATGACAAGGCTATTTTTTTCAAACACAAATCAAATTATTACTTGGTGATTTTTGTTAGCTACACTATCACCAATTTACAGCTAACATCTCTTTCACGGGTTCCAGAGTCTTAGTGTCCCTTGGTCACCGCTTCTCTACTACTCCGCTGCTCCTGGATTCAGCTAAGGCATACAGTGATTCTAGCCCTCTGGAACTGTGTAAAATTTCATAATATAGTGGACAAGACTAGTCGTATTGGGTAAAATCAGCAATCTGAACTTTATTAGGCCACACTCAGCTTTTTATGCAGTGCCCCTAGCATGGGGCTTCTAATACAAAATCACAGGGTTTTTCTTCCCACAAGCCATTGTGTTTGAGAGATCATTGAGCTCCAATTAAGCTAATTCAATTATCTCTCAAATAGGAAAACTTCCATGCAATTGTTACATATCACAAAAATACAAGACAACATAATCAGATTATATTTCCGAATAACCCAGATCTGAGCGCACAACATATCCAAAAAGTGCTCTGATTGGTTCGGTAAAACGAAAGTTATGTTTGTGCATTTATGAACTGGCTGAATTGTAGAGGTGGTATTGTCAATTTCAAAAGGGGTTAATTTGATTGTATGGGAGGTTGGAGCTTACAACCTAAATTCCTCTTTGAAGCTGGGACCCCAGCAGAGCTACTCAGTAAGGTGTGAGAAGTCACACATAAATGGCCTGGAAGTTTGGTTTCAGTATGAACTAACTCTTTCATTTGCCATATGTCTTGGTGTCTGGGACATAATTGGGCCAAGACATGATAACTTAATTTCCTGCTGGGCACCAAGACACATAGCACAATAGCTTTTACATAATACAATAAACACAATAGCTTTCAACCAGCTCAACATTTTAAATATTAACTCAACATTAACACAATGTACCCCCATATCCGATATATAATTTTAAAGTCTGTGACCAGGCCCATAGTCTGTGGGCATGAGGCAAGCTATTATGCATCTCCAACAGGCTCTGGCATGGGAGCTTCCATGACATATCTTCCCCCTGAAGACTAAACTAACAAGTCACCAGACCAACAAACGGTCAGTGCCTGAGTTAGTCGGATAACCAGCCCCAAAAAGTAAATCCACACCGGTAGCCTCCTGAACAACACTCCATCTTGGTAGTTCCTCGTTGTGCTGTGGGGAGCTACCAACCCCTGTTTTTCCCGGTAGCTCCGACTGCCACTGGGGAGAGAGACTGGTTGTCTCCTCTCCCTGGAATAAGCACTGCTGCTGGGGAGTAAGACCAGTTGTCCCTTCTCCCTGGAACTCACTTTGCTGATGGGGATGGAGGACCATACTCTTCTCTTGCTAGAATGCACACTGCCACTGGGGAGTGAGACCAGTTGTCTCCACTCCCTGTAACATACTCTGCCGCTGGGGAGAGAGATCAACTGTCTCTTTTTCCTTGACCCCACACTGCCACTGGGGAGTGAGACCGATTGTCTCCACTCCCAATAACTCACACTGCCGCTGGGGAGTGAGACCAGTTGTCTCCACTCCCTGTAGCATACTCTTCCGCTGGGGAGTGAGACTGGTTGTCTCTTCTCCCTGCAACACATCCTGTCACTGTGGAGTGAGGGTACTGTCCTCCCCTCTCTGCGACTCACTCTGCTTCCACTGTACAGAGTTGATTAGTCGCCGATAGTCCTGCTCGAGCTCCCATTACTGGTTGGCTATGTAGTTTGGATCAGATACCAAGTTTGTTGTTGCTGCTGTTGCCAAATGTCCCAGAATTGAAACACTGCTGAGCTCCCAAAATCAGTCCACACCTCAAAGGCCTCCCACAATAAGCCAGGGCCAATGTAGTCCTCACCCTCCAGAGGGTTGTCGTTTGTAAGTCACGGGTACTGCTGGACCGCATACTACCTCATGGCCCGGTAATCATCTTCCAGACACAGTTCTCTCCAGACCAGTCTCTCCAGTTCAGTCACCCATTCCTCCAGGGGCTGCTCTCCCAGAAGAGGCATCCGCATATCCAGTTGACCTTGATGTCACTGTTCTTGGATTGGAAGGGATTCTTTCCGGAGAACCTGTACCTCCTCGAGGACCTCACTCCAGAGTTGCTTTCGGATCTGGTCCCTAAGATCCTGCTCACACTCTCCTGGGACTGTGCAATCATACTGGAACAGAGTTTCTTGTAGTCGCTGCTGAAACTCTGAGGTCAAGCACTTACGTTTCTGCACTCCTCCATCCTCTGAATGATTGCCTCCAAAGCAGGGCCATCTCTCTGATCCTCTGCATGGGAACTATTCCTCGAATAAGGATGCTGCATGGTTGCTAGCTTGATCCATATCCTCAGGAATACTGCCAGTGGCTTCAGCTAGGCTTATGGCAAATTCTTCAGCTCACTCTTTCTCCGCCTCCACCATAATCCGATTAACCACCTCAGGTGACGTGTAAGGGCCATAGAAAGCCAGGCATTCTCTTACCCTCTGTGAGAGCACATTCTGTCCTGTCTGTGCTGCCAGTGAGAACGGTGATTCTCTGGGAGTGCTGGCTGGCCTTTCCTGGTTCAGGTCTATCAGGGCTGTATTCATCTCAGGTTTCTTTAGTCCTGCTGGATCGTAACCTCTGTGAGCGAGTAGCTCCTTTAGGGCTTGGATGGTCAGGAAACTATTGTTGCCTGCCATCCTGGTTGCTGTACTTTCTGCTGGACATCTGTTTGGACTGCTTTTCATGGAAGAGCCCACTTCTTGACGCCAGTGTCACGGGTTCCAGGGTCTCTTAGTGTCCCTTGGTTGCCGCTTCTCTACTCCTCCTCTGCTTCTGGATTCAGCTACAGCATACAGTGATTCTAGCTCTCTGGAACTTTGTAAAATTCCCCAATATAGTGGACAAGACCAGTCATATTGGGTAAAAGCAGCAATCTGAACTTTATTAGGCCACACTCAGCTTTTTATGCAGTGCCCCTAGCATGGGGTTTCTAATACAAAATCACAGGGGTTTCCTTCCCACGAGCCATTGTGTTTGAGAGATCATTGAGCTCCAATTAAGCTAAACCCAATTATCTCTCAAATAGGAAAACTTATATGCAATTTTTACATATCACAAAAATACATGACAACAGCATCGGAAATCCACAAAAATATATATATTCCCGAATAGCCCAGATCTGAGCGCACAACATATCCAAAAAGCGCTCAGATCGGTTCGGTAAAACGAAAGTTAGATTCGTGCATAAATGAAATGGCTGCCTGGTAGAGGTGGAATTGTCAATTTCAAAAGGGGTTAATTTGATTGTATGGGAGGTTAGAGCTTACAACCTAAATTCCTCTTTGAAGCTGGGACCCCAGTAGAGCTACTTTGTAAGGTGTGAGAAGTCACACATAAGTGGCCTGGAAGTCTGGTTTCAATATAAACTAATTCTCTAATTTGCCATATGTTTTGGTGTCTGGGACATAATTGGGTCAATACATGATAACTTCATTTCCTGGAGGAGGAGGCTAGCTATGGCGATGTCAATGTTTAAAAGCAGTTTAAAGTCTTAATCAGATAACTTAAGGAGACATCACGGAAAACAGAACTTATTGTAGTTTCTTGTATAAGAGAAGCAAACCATTCAGGGAAGCTAAATCTCCTGTCAACTATCTAAAATAGATACAGGCACCAACTCAGATGCTGCACATGTGCGTCTATTTGTATAAAGTCGTGCCCACATCATAATAGTGTGACTCAAAGTGCCGAATCAATCAGCATGAACGAACAGAATTATGGGTGTTTAGGTGTTCCAAAGTGATGCTAACCAGTAGTGTTAGTGCTATATGAAGCCAGGGCTTTCTGTAGCAAGTTGCCCTGTTGTGGTTCTTGATTACCCAAGAGTGTGCTTTTATTTTGGATTCCTTGTTACCGGCTTTGGCCTTATTTATTCGTCTCTCCACTCTCTGTGTTCCTGACTTTGGCTTGTTTCTTGTTTATGCTGTTTTCTCCTACGCTTGACCTCGGCTTTCTCTCTAACTACTATTTACGTTTAATACGGCCATTCTAAGGGCAGGTAATACATAGTAATTATCACTCCAGCATATTAGGGTCTGTGAGTGTTATGTTCTCAATGGCTATCCAGCCATGACAGGGGGTGACTGTTTAAAGAGAAGGAGATATAGTTCATCATTCTGCACCGTTAACCATTATTTTTAAACTGGTATTATTTATTTGTATATTGTGTTGATAAAACAATAAAAAAATGTCAATGTCTTTGATCTCTTTTGTTTATTGGACATACAACACTCTTATCTATTTTTGTTTGGTATGTTTGATTTTTGCTTTACAATTCAACAGATTTTGATGTTGCAAAAAAGAGAGAGAGAAAGAAACTAAATCATAAAAAATAAAAGTGCTTGAAAACATATTCATATATTCAATTTACTCTACAAAATAACATATTGTGGGATAACAAATCCTGTAGACATATCACAAAGCTAAATAAAAATTTTACACTAACATAATGTAAAAATAAAGTTTCTATATCTGTCCTTTAGAATTTTAATGCATAATTCTAACATCTGAATCTCAAAAGGTTAAATAAACTTAATTATGCCAGTTCACATTCATAACTTGGAAGCAACAGCATAAATGTCTTGTTCGGACTGATTGAAATGGGATAGTCCGTCAGACATCTTTTGTCAGATTAGCATACACGTTCTGCTCCTGATATCTTAATGTCATATCCATGGGGGTCCTACAAAGAGGTGCTCAGCTAATCAGGCCATTAGATTGCTTTAATATGCATTGTTTTTCTGGTGCATCAAGTACATGGAAATCAAAAACCAGAATACATCTCACAAGAGGAATAAAACAGATATCAAGTGAGAGGTTTGATGAGATGAGACATGGGAGCAGAAATGCACATTTTCTTGACTGTATTGACATGAGGATATCATCGGATGCCTCATGGATCATGTACAAGATCTTGATTTTGTTCAAACTTTTGCTGGACAGCGTGACATTAACATAATCTATTTAGTCTTCCTTAAACACATTCAAGATTTATTTTAAATGATTAAAAAGTGTTGCATTTGTGTTACTGTTTTTTCATTTAAATCAAACTTTACTTAATATAAGTAAAGCTTAAAAATATAGACTTTTGTGGTTAAAGATCAGTGTGTTTTTTTTTTTATCTAGGGCCACTTTATGCATTGGTAAAAGGTAGTCCAGGTCCCACCATCCACCATCTTCGCTTCTTCAAAAAGTGGGAAAGAAACAGGATAAAAGGCTGTGGCTGAATTAGGGTTCGAACACTGGCAATGTAAAAGGTAATATATGTTGTCTGTAGGTATGAGATACAAAAATAATCAGCCAGTTATAATGTATTCCATCACTGGTCAAACATGCTACAATATACCATCAAGAGAGCAACTTCACAGGTTTCCAGTCCTATTGACTTATTTATGGTTATATCCCATCCCAGAGTGTCTTAAACTTACCCACTTCCTCTCATGTTGCCTGTAGTATCTCACTAATTTATTAATATCCACCAGTGACCCAGAATACATGCTATGTCTGAGACATCCTATACCCAAACTCTTTCTTTAAAAAAACACAAAAACTATATTATTTCTTGTCCTACTTCCCGATTCCCTAGCTGCTCTATATCAGCCAGGGTGACTCAGTACGTAATGATTCAGGGTAGCATGGCATACCAAAGTCATAAGCCTCTGGAGTGTGCCATATGGATCATGCATGTGGTCCATGATATTCTGCAAAGACATGCGCCATCATATCTCTATGCAGTGTATCAGAAGGTGACAAAAACCTTCAAACAACATCAGGGCAGCTAAGTGAGATCCACAACTATCCAACTGCAGAACATCATGGTAAGGCCACAGGGTCATGGCGCGAACAAGATAAAATACATGAACTGCATGTCTATGCTTTGTGTACTATCTGTACTATCTCTGTCTATCATTTGTATGTCTGCGAGTCTGTCTCTTCCTCAGTCACTCCATTTGCTTGTCAATCACTTGTCTTTTAGAAGGAATACACTTGAATATTTTTTCGCCTATATATATTAGGACATAGATGCTATCAAAGTTATTGGTATTATTTGTATTGTTTACATTATTTAATGGTATATATTTCTTTGTAAACATACAACATTTTAATTTTGAATTGTAAATTCTGACCAAATACACGTGAAGAAGAGAAACAGAGATTCATAGTTTTAAGGGCCTATCAAAACAAATTAACAACCAGATATCCTGTATTACAGTCTGGTTTAGAAAATAAAAAATAAAAAGTCAGTATTTAATTCTTTTTCTGCAGTCGTTGTTAATTAACATGTGTGATGACCCATTATTGCATTTTTTCAAAGATGTTTCATTATGTCATTTAATGGTAGCTGCTGCAAAAATACAAGGGACGTGGTCAACGACAACCAAACATACAGAATTATCAGTATTAAGGATAAATATAGGCTGACAGACGCTCTTAGAAGTTGCTGATATGCAGTATTGCCATTGACATTTCCTCTGCTTGATCTCTCTCAAACTATACTATACTGTGATATGACTACTGGAGAAGGCATTAGCAACTGTGATTGCTTTACCTTAGGCTGCTGGGATATGGACAACAGTGGGTATGTTTTGGTATCAGGTGGTGCAGTAGAGAGACTAGAATGCTCCAGGCTACTTGGCTGTCTTTTTCAGTCTTCACTTCAACAATCCCTTGAAGAATCTATTTGTCTTCATATTATCTTGAAATGCAACTTATTTAAAGCTGAAATGATAACTATTTTTAATGTAAACTTGAAACACAATGAATGCTGTTTCACCATATGGAAGCCTATTCAGCAAACAATGAGTTCAGTAAGTGTGAGTTTACGATTCACCAGTTTGTAAAATATAGGCTTAGTACATCCAGATTGCAAAGAAATGTCTCTAGTACAGATATGTTATAGATTTTCATTTCCAAAAACTGATCACAACTGACTATTTAGTGAAGAAATCCCTATGTGTTCTTTGAAATGTACGGTATTCATTAATTCCCTTACTATGTACAAATAGAAAACTCAACTTTTGTCTTTGGTATATGAACTACACCCATATAATGTATGAATTAATAATAAGGTATGTCTGAGAAGCAAAATTTGTCCTTTCAATTGAGGTATCACCTGTGCTCTTATGATGCAGGTAAACACCATGAATAAATGTACCCATTTCATTGTCCATCTAGACCAGGGGTGTCAAACATGCGGCCCCCCAGATGTTGCTGAACTACAACTCCCATGATTCTTTCAATGAAACAGATAGCCAGGGAATCATGGGAGTTGTAGTTCAGCAACATCTGGGGGGCCGCATGTTTGACACCCGTGATCTAGACAGTATTTTATAGAGAGGGTAGGGGAGTCTTTAAGTCTAATCCCCCTCTGTTTATCTTAGAGGGCATGAGAACCTAATTCAAAAGAGAGGATTTATTTATTTTGCATATGTACCTTTAAAATACATTTTGGCCAGAGAAAGTAATCTTCTCTTCAGAGTGAGGTTTCCATTTGTCATGGGTTGGTGAGAGCCATGAAAATTGGCAATAAATACATACAGTAGCAAGAGAAGTATGTGAACCCTTTGGAATGATATGGATTTCTGCACAAATTGGTCATAAAATGTGATCTTATCATCATCTAAGTAACAACAATAGA